AACCTCAGTATTCGGGTTAAATTGCCGTGTTGGCACTTTGCGATAAATAAGTGGGTTTTGGGTCGCAGTTTGGGCACTCGGTCTCTAAAAGGTTCACCATCACTGCTGTAGGCCAAGCCAATTGCCCCTGGCCTTGTTACCCCGCTCTGAGGCCAAAGTCAAACACCAGGGAAGTACAGGAGACTCCATAGTTAAGGTGAGAGATGGTCTAAACTTGGGCACATTTTCACTGAGGGGGCTAAAAGAAAGGACACTGCCTCTGGAATTATTCTATTCAATGGCCGTAGGTAAATTTCCTGTTAAAAAAACAAACGAACATTATTTTTCCCATTGCCCCAAACCCCAGGACATGTTTTAGAATAGTAATTTCCCATAGGCTCTGACCTGAATGGCCCAGGCTATGTCCTCAGATCTCAGAAGCTAAGCAGGGTAGGCCTTGGTTTAGTCCTTGGCTGGGAGGAGACGACCAAGGAAGTCCGTGGTTGCTATGCAGAGGCAAGCAACGGGCAACCCATCACTATTTATCTGTTGCTTTGAAAAAAAATTAGGAGCTGCGGTGGCTCAAGTGGTTAAGACGCTGAACATCAGGCTGAGGAAGATCGGTAGTTCAGCAGTTCAAGACCCAGTCTCTAGTTCCAGCTCCTGCCAACCTAGCAGTTTGAAAGCAAGAAATTGCAAGTAGATAAATAGGTACCACTTCGGTGGGAAGGTAACAGCATTCCGTGCGCCTCGGTGTTTAGTCATGCCGATCACATGACCACAGAAACGTCTTCGGACAGCGCTGGCTCTTCGGCTTTGAAACGGAGATGAGCACCGCAACCCTAGAGTCGGACTTGACTGGCTTTCGAGCAAGGGAACCTTTACCTTTACCTTGAAAACCATATGAGTTGGTTGCAACTTGATGGCGGCTGTTTCTTTGGCTGTCAAGTCCCAGCTTGACTTATGGTGACCCCATAGGGTTTTCAAGACCAGAAACATTCAGAAACGGTTTGCCATTAACAGCCTCTGTGAAGCAACCCTGGACTTCCTTGATGGTCTCCCATCCAAATACTAATGAGGGCTGACCTTGCTTAGCTTCTGAGATCTGATGAGACTGGGCTATTCCCATAGGCATGAGTGTGGCTTTTAAAGAGACTAGCACCCAGGGCAGTCAGAGTTTCTTGGGAGTGCCTTCAGCCCTTTCACTTCAATCAAGCCTAGGACTAAGAATCAGCCCTTGAGCAAGGAACCAGGGTGTTCAAACTCTGGTCACTGCAAAACAGCTGGTGAATATAACCTGTGGTAGATGATTCCACTTTAGTAGTACTCCGGCATATCACCTAAATCGAGCAGGAACAGACTCAGTCACATCACGAGAAGAGCAGACTCATTGGGAAAGACAATAAAGCTAGGAAAAGTTGAAGGCGGCAGGAAGAGAGGAAGACCCAGCATTTATTTATTTATTTAATTTCATTTATACCCCGCCCTCCCCGCATGTGCGGGCTCCCCGCATGAGAGGGATGGACCCCATCAAGGAAGCCAGGGGGCCTCAGTTTGGAAGACCTGAGCAAGACTGTCAACAATAGGACATTTTGGAGGTCATTAATTCATAGGGTCATCAGAAGTCAGAAGTGACTTGATGGCGCATAACATAAATGAAAAATGCTTACATAGCTGTCAACAGGGCTATTTTTGGGCAGGAACGCACAGGAACGGAGTTCCGGCTGGCTCCCGAGTTGGCCACACCCAGCAGGTATTAGCATAATAGGCCACACCTAACAGCAGAAACTCATTAGGATTGGCTACATTAGGGGTATGTGGCCTAACATGCTAATGAGGGGTGGTGTCAGGGGTGTGGCCTAATATGCTAATGAGTTTCTGCTGTTGGGTGTGGCCTGTTAAGCTAATGTGTTCCTGCTGGGCTTTTTCTACAAAAAAAGCCCTGGCTGTCAACATGGGGAAAGCCAAGAACACCCCACCCTACAAACAGAAGTTAGCAACTAAGAACTAGGCCAAGCGCTAAAGTGAAGTCTCTCTGGCTTGCAGGGACAGGAAGAGGAATGACAAGAGACAGGCTCAGCAATCTTGGTTGTAATAAAATAAAGAAGACATCATAAGAACTTAAGAGAAGCCGTGCTGGATTAGGCCAATGGCCCATCCAGTCCCACGCTCTGTGCCACACAGTGGCCAAAACCCAGGTGCCATCAGGAGGTCCACTGGCACGGCCAGAACTCCAGAAGCCCTCCCACTGTTGCCTCCCAAGCACCAAGAACACAGAGCATCCCTGCCCCAGACAGAGTGTTCCCGATATACCTTGTGGCTAACAGAAACTCTCCCTAATGGCATTGTTTACAGAACATCTGAGCATCTGCCACGTGGATAACTGCATGGTTTCTCCTGCAGCACAAAGAAAAATTCATTTAAGCACGAAAGTCGTTAAACTTTCTGTGAAAATGAACGTAGCCAGTATAAGGTGTTTAATCCCAAAACAAAACCGCGTACACATGAAAATCGTTTCAGAGGGTAGCCCTGTTGGTCTGCAAGTAGGACAGCTAGATTGGAGTCCAGGAGCACCTTAGAAACCAACAAGAAATGAAGGGAGTTTTGACTCTCAAAAGCTCATACCTTGAAAATTTCCTTGGTCTCTAAGAATCTAGCTGTATACACATGAAAAGCAGTTTTTTTAAAAAAGTGTCCCAATTGGACTTTGTAGCTGATGGCTGTATCAACAACAGTATGTTTGGTTGGTCTTGCCTGGACCTTTTCCACTGTGTTTCCCATTCCCACCCCCAACGCCCCCAAATGCCCCCAAAAGGCCTACAACCAAATCCTGCTGCTACCCGTCAGCAAGTGACATTCAGAGGCAAGCTGCGTCTGAATGTGGAGGCTCCATTTAGGCCTCATGGTTAGCAGCAGCAGATGGACCTCTCCTCCAGGGATTTGTCTGAGTCCTTAAAACCATCAATACATACAGAGACAGGATCATTATGTGAAATTCACACAATCAAGAACACACACGTTTTGCTTATCCTGAACCTACTGATGATTCACCTTCAGCAGATGGCCCCCAAAGTTCTGGTGTTTTGGGGAGAGAGGGGGAAAGTTCTCCACTTCTCCACACTGTGCATAGTTTTATAAATCTGTTCCGTGTCCCCCCCAAAAAAACTAAAAAAAATCATGCCAGATTAATCCCAAAGGTTTCTACAAAGTTTGTGAATACTGTGGCAACACAATCAAAGAAGGAAATTTTTGGACCACAAGTCTACTTTATAATCACTGGGCTAGTGATAGCACTTTAAAGGACTTATGTGCCTATTGATCCTGTGCCTGGTGATTTTATTTTTGAACAATTTACTTTATGGTCCTTATTGAATTTATACTTTGTATATATTCTTGATTGTGTGTATGTGAATATATGTATCAGCCATTTTGCCACATATATATGACCTCTGAGGAAGGCCTAGTTGGCTGAAACGCGTAAGGTCAAGCTTTTAAGCCCTTGGTATTGTAATGTTTTATATATAATTGTTGCAAATGGGCCCCTGTTTATGTTTTAAAATTTGTTATTAATAAATACATGTATCTTTTTCTACTTTTATTAGATAGGTTTTAATATTGGCCCACTTCTTCACTAACCTTTGTTTGGTTCTGGATAATATATAATGAAACCACTGCACAGAAAGGTTAGCTGGGCTTTCCCTCCATTTACAGCACAGCTGTACACTTGGAAGTACAATGAAGCAAGATCGCTAGAAATCCATGAGGCGATTCAAACAGCCGGTCCCTTGGCAGCCCGTAATTGTTCTTTTTGGAAAATCTGTAAACATTTGAGCATATGATCCATTTGCCACCGAATGTCATCCTCTGCAAGAAACTTACTAGCACTTCTGCGGAGATCGATCAAGATGCAGAGCCATGCTAGCAGAAAAGAGCAAGAGTCCCATAGCACCTTAAAGATTAACAAAATGATTCAATTGATTTGGTTTATACCCCACCCTCCCCACCGAGGCAGGCTCAGGGCGGCTAATGTGTGGCAGAAGAGGAGCTCTCCTGAGTCACTGCTCGCTTCTTCAGATATCCGCCAGGCTTTTGGTTGAGGACAATGACGGTTTCTATCGTGGCTGGAACCCTCCTCAGTTTTCCACGCTCTTTCCCCCTGCCCGCGAATCAGCCAGCACTCTGTAAGGTGGAAATAACGAATTATAAGTATGACTGTTCGCCATCTGTCTTTTAAAATGTAATTTAATATGATTTATTGTTTTATCTGGCAATTGTTTTAATTGTTTTAATTGTTGAGCTGCGGTGGCTCAAGTGGTTAAGACGCTGAACTGCAGGCTGTGGAAAGTCAGTAGTTCAGTAGTTCGAGACCCGGGTGCCGTGTGACGGAGTGAGCTCCCGTCTCTAGTTCCGGCTCCTGCCAACCTAGCAGTTCGAAAGCAAGAAATTGCAAGTAGATAAATAGGGACCACTTCGGTGGGAAGGTAACAGCGTTCCGTGCGCCTTGGTGTTTAGTCATGCCGGCCACATGACCACGGAAACGTCTTCGGACAGTGCTGGCTCTTCGGCTTTGAAATGGAGATGAGCACTGCAACCCCAGAGTCGGACTCGACTGGCTTTCAAGCAAGGGAACCTTTACCTTTACATTGCCCAAAGCCCTACAATAGTAGGGATGGGGCGATTCATAAATTTTAATAATAATAATAGCTCATACCCTGCCACAAATTTTGTTAGTCTTCAAGATGCTACAGGACTCTTGCTCTTTTCTGCTGGCGCTTCTGTGTGTTATATCTGTTTTAAAAAAGGCTATATGCTTCTAAGACAATTAAATAAAAGCAGAAAGAGCAGCTGTGATTGTTCTGGGTCAAGAAAACAGTTCAGCTGTATAATTTCTCCCATGTGATGCGACGTAGTCCTTTCCCACACATCAAGCATTTTATATAGGACCTCTGGTGTGTGCAGATTCTTTAACAGGAAATTTGGCATTCGTTTGTAATGGGTAGCCCTTTCCTCACTTAGAGCGCTTACACCGCTTCACCCCCGTGAGTTCTCTTATGCTGAATAAGATTTGATTTTTCGCAAAAGCCTTTGCCACAGTCTAAGCATTGGTATGACCTCTCCCCTGTGTGGGTTCTCTGATGTGAAGTAAGGCCTGTGCTCCGACTGAAGCTCTTCCCACACTCAGAGCATTTGTACGGCTTATCCCCAGTGTGGGTTCTCTGGTGCCGAATAAGGTCCGAACTCTGGCTGAAGCTCCTCCCACACTCCGAGCAGTGGTAGGGTTTCTCCTTGGTGTGGATTCTCTGGTGTCGAACAAGGCTCGACTGAGCGCTCAGGGTCAAGCCGCAGTCAGAACAGCAGTAGGGTTTCTGGCCCGCGTGCATCCGCAAGTGCAGGTTCAGGATGGATTTGCGGATAAAGGTCTTGCTACAGTTTTTGCAGGTGTAGAGCTTCTCTCCTTTGTGGATTCTCTGATGGGAAGTGAGGCTGCCCCTGTAGTTGAAGCTCTTTCCACACTCCAAGCACTTATATGGCACCTCCCCTCTGTGAAGTCTGTGGTGCGTCGCAGCATTTCTGGTCTGGCTGAAGCTCTTCCCAAACTTCAAGCTTTTATTGGGTTTTTCCTCCAGGTTGACCCTCCAGCGAATATCACGGCACTTGTTCCTTCTCTTTTCTGCTTGGGTTTCATCTCTGATGGGGTTTTTGAGATACTCCATACCCACAGATGCAAGAGAGTCATTCCCCTCAGTCTTGGCTTCGTTTTCCACCTGTGCTATTGATTTACTTGGATCATGGAAGTTCTCTTTCGATGCTTCACACCTGGCTCTTTCACACAACTTGCTGTATATTTCTCCCTTGTTCTCATTCAGTTGCCCATCACCTTCAGAAACAAAGAGAGAGAGAATTAAATTCTACAAAATGGTGAGCAGGGAGAAAGAAAATTACTCTCTATCCACACCACTGCCACTGGTCTGCGAAAGGCTCCATCAGGTTCAAATCCCCACTGTCATGGAAGCTTGCTGGGTGATCTTGGGCCAGTCATGCACTAGTCTACCTTACATGGCTGTTGTTTGAGGAGAAAATGGAGAAAAGGAGATCACCATAAGCTACTTTGTGGTCCCCACTGGGAAGCGAATAAATCGGACTCTGATTGCTGCTAACAGAAGGCCTCTTGGAAACCTGTACATACACTCTGCATCTAGAAAATGTACAGGCCATAAATATAAACAAATTCTTTTCTGAGATTTATAAACAGCTCTACACAACTTCCAACCAAAGAAAATAAAACATCAATAAACGAATTAAAACAACATAACTAAACCGTCAGTAGCAGAAAAAGAACAGGGCAAATAAAACCAGAAGACCAGACTTAACTGTAAGTCATCAACCATTTTCACCCCTTTCAGAACCACTGCGGTGGTGGAGTCGGGTGGATATCTTGAGAGAGAACATTACAGTACTCTGGGGCAAGCAACGAAAAGGCCCTGCTGCATGCGAGAGTAAACCCGTCAGATGCTAAGAAGGTTGCCTTATCTAAGGCACTGTCTCATGTTTTATTTTTCTGGTGCTCCAACCTGTATTATTGATGAACTCATTTACACCATAAATATTTCCTCACATTTGTGAAAATTCCACTCCCCTTTGACTTGCATTCTTGTGGCTTTATGCTTCCTTGGCTTAGATCGCCAGCTTTTTATAATGTAATTTTCTCATGCATCTTTTAAAAGATTGGCCTTGGTGTCCATTTATAAATCTCAGAAAAGAATTTGTTTATATTTATGGCCTGTACATTTTCTACAAAATGGTGAGCAGGGAGAAAGAAAATTATTCTCTATCCACACCACTGCCACTGGTCTGCGAAAGGCTCCATCAGGTTCAAATCCCCACTGTCATGGAAGCTTGCTGGGTGATCTTGGGCCAGTCATGCACTAGTCTACCTTACATGGCTGTTGTTTGAGGAGAAAATGGAGAAAAGGAGATCACCATAAGCTACTTCGTGGTCCCCACTGGGAAGCGAATAAATCGGACTCTGATTGCTGCTAACAGAAGGCCTCTTGGAAACCTGTACATACACTCTGCATCTAGAAAATGTACAGGCCATAAATATAAACAAATTCTTTCCTGAGATTTATAAAATGCTCTACACAACTTCCAACCAAAGAAAATAAAACATCAATAAACGAATTAAAACAACATAACTAAACCGTCAGTAGCAGAAAAAGAACAGGGCAAATAAAACCAGAAGACCAGACTTAACTGTAAGTCATCAACCATTTTCACCCCTTTCAGAACCACTGCGGTGGTGGAGTCGGGTGGATATCTTGAGAGAGAACATTACAGTACTCTGGGGCAAGCAACGAAAAGGCCCTGCTGCATGCGAGAGTAAACCCGTCAGATGCTAAGAAGGTTGCCTTATCTAAGGCACTGTCTCATGTTTTATTTTTCTGGTGCTCCAACCTTGATGCTCTGTATTATTGATGAACTCATTTACACCATAAGTACTTTCTCACAGATGTGAAAATTCCACTCCCTTTTGACAAAAGGGATTACTTGCATTCTTGTGGCTTCACACTTCCTTGGCTTAGATTGCCAGCTTTTATAATGTAATTTTCTCATGCATCCTTTAAAAGGTTGGCCTTGGTGTCCCTTGTAAGGGCAGAGAGGCAGGATATAAATTCTGTAAATAAGTAATAATAAACTATGCTTTTTCATTGGGCTTCTGTTACTGAGGGTTTCAATCATTTATTTTGTGAGTATTTGTGTGTGTGTATATGCCTGGAAGTCATGGTTAACTTCTGGCAACCCCTAGTGAGGCTTGGACATTTCAGAGAGGTGGCTTGCCATTGCCTGCCTCTGCGTCCTGACCCTGGTATTCCTTGGAGATCTCCCTTCCAAATACTTGCCAGGGTTGGCCCTGCTTAGCTTTCAAGATCTGATGAGATTGGTTTTGCCTAAGCTATCCAGCGCAGGGCAGGATTTCAATAATTTCCAAGCATCCTAAAGAAATTTTATATACTTTACCATCACATTTCTTACCAGCATCAGCACCTGCCTGGACTGTGGTTTCAAATATGATATTGTAAATGTCCCCATGAAAAACAGGAACATTTTCCTGCTCACAACACTGGGAAGCATTCTTTTCTACTTTCCACATTGGCATTCCATCTGATTCTACTGGTTTGGAATCTTCTGGTGCATCACCATCAGTGGTCATCCAAGCTCTGGCTTCTGGGGAAACAATTAAAAAGTCCTGAACAACATAATCTCCGAGTTACAGGGAGTGTCAGATTCCCAGTCAAATCACTCTCCACACACACTTTGGCAGTGAATGCTTTATTTAGAGATCTGAGATGCTGTGGGTTCAAGCTCTTTGTTAGGACTGACTTGCAAAGGTGGGGAAAGTCAAGATATAGGTAAAACCCCCAAAATTCCATGCAGTCCAACGTCAGCATCACTATAGTGACTCTGAAAGATATACAGCCACTATCTAGCCAGGCACAGTCTTACTCCAAGGACATTTCTCGTGGGAAAGATATCTTGGGGCCCCTTAGAAAAATTACCAAGAAAAGGGAACTTCCCACCAAAGATGAGGTAATTAACAAGCTATTAGAGATAGCAGAAATGGAGAAACTAAGTTTGATTCTACAACATAAAGATGATAGTATTTATTGGGAAAGATGGGGCCAGTGTACATAAATGGTTAAACATGGAAAATGTAGACACAAATATGTGAGAGATGTATATATTTGGAATGTAACGAATATATTTAAAACTGATAAATAAAGATTGTAAAAAAAGGAAGAAAGAAAAATTACCAAGCAAGGCTCCCTAATTCACTACACACACTCTGCCCCCCCCTAGGAATGCAATGGCAGACGAGGGCAGTGATAAGGATACAGAATGCAAGCAGGATAAATCAGGAATAGACAATGCAGCCATTTCAGCTGGTCCACCCTGATGCCAGATGCCCGAGTCTGACATGGAGCACCTTCCTCTGTATAACCAAGCAATGAAAAGGGCTAGGGACTTGAGGAGAGCTGGAGTGTGTAGTATGAAAATAGGAGTCAAATTTAGAATGAGAAATAGTCTAAAATGCTGCATACAATTGTATCGTGAAGAAGCAGAATGAAAATCAGTTCTAAATGTAACACATTGAATATAAATGTGCATAAGGAAGCGGGTTTTGAAGAGAAACGTTTTTTATTTTCTACTACAAGATATACAATAGTCCCTTCTGTATATTTGTTATATTACCTATTTGACAAAACTAATAGTGGGAATGCAGAAGTGGCAAAAATATGCAGTATGCAGCAATGATGAAGTTTATAATTCAGTTGAAAACCAGGTTAAGAAATTCAAAATGTAAAATGTTGACTATAAATCTACGCCAACAGAAGTAAGTTAGTATTTTGTAAAAAGTGATCCAAAAACCTTTCAATGTAATGAAGGGTGCTGGGGAGAAATATTTTCTATTTCATATATTTTGTTACATGCAAATATATATATATTATGTATTTCCTTTTTATTATGTTTTCAAAAAACATAATTTTTAAAAAGGGCTAGAGACTTCCTTTAAAAAAAATGAGACTCAGTACATTGTGGCAATGGATTGTTATGCTACAGCAATCTAGATGTTAGATTAAAAAAAAAATTAAAAGCCAATGCGGTAAATTTGTGGGGGGCGGGAGAAGCCGTGGCAGTCAAAGGCACAAAGGAAAGCTAAACGGTACTCACATCGGTGGGACAAGCACAAGCCCATTCAAAGGCGCTTTGATCTTTCCAAAAAGACTGTACCAAACCAAGTCTAAGAAAGAATGCAGAAACCTGGGGGGGGGGAAACATGGAAATAGGGCAGAGGGTGACATCATGCGGTCGCTCTCCCCCCAAAACAGCACTGTAAGGAAGCCAAGGCAGAGCAAAAAATCTGTGTGGAAACAGCCTAGGATAGGCAACAGAGTCTATGCACTCCTTTTCCCCACCCCGACCCTTTTTCTTAGAAGACCATAGCTGTTGGACACTCTAAGGACAGAGAATCCCCAAAGAGAAGTTACCACAGCTGAAATCTTCCCAGGATGGAAAGACACAGAGGTATCCTCCCCTCCTTACCAAGCAGGCTGGTCTCTCCGTCCTCCTCTTCCTTGATGCCCATCGAAGGATGCCTCTGCACACTCTCAGATGGAACCTGGCCTGCCTCACTCCCAGCCATCTCTTCCAAGGGCACCTGCGATGACCGAGAGGGATGTTGTCACATACACACACGAAAGCACAAGAAACTGCCTTATACTGACACAGAGCATTCGTCCATCAAGGTCAGTCCTGTCTACTTTGACTGGCAACAGTTCCTTTCAACTGGAAATGCTGGGGATTGAACCTGGGACCTTCTACATGCCAAGGAGATGCTCTACCACTGAGCTATGGCTGCCTCCCTAAATGAACCTGCCTTTTGTGGAGTCATACCCCTAGGTCTTCCTCATCCTTTCAGCTGGAGATGCCGGGGATTGAACTTGGGACCTTCTGCATGCCAAGTATATTCTCTACCACTGAGTCATGATCCCTTCCCTAAATGAACATGCCTTTCATTTTTTGACTCTTGGTCTACCTCATACTTTCCATCGCACAAGCTGGGGATCGAACCTGGGACCCTGTGCACGCCGAGCTGATACTCTACCACTCTGCCATGGCCCCCTCCCATAAGAGGGAATGAGAGGTGCTCTTCTCTTCCTCTTGCAGGGGAAGAGATCAGAGAAGTCTTACCCCTTTCGGAGGTCTTGGGGAACAAGATAATACTGTCTCACAGGGATGACAATGGTGTAGTGCAGTGGTGGCGAACCTATGGTGCCAGAGGTGGCACTCAGAGCCCTCTCTGTGGGCACGCGTGCCATCGCCCCAGCCAGGCCCAGACCATCATTAAAGTGTCGAATTCTCTGCCAAATAATTTTAAGTAAATGAAAGCATTTGGGATTGCTTTCCTTACTTTGTTTGGATCATCTTAAGTTAATGTAGGAGTTGTTTTTTCTAAAGTAAAACCTCAGTATTCAGGTTAAATTGCCGTGTTGGCACTTTGCGATAAATAAGTGGGTTTTGGGTCACAGTTTGGGCACTCGTTGAAAGAGCAGTTCTGGAAAGCGCTCTCTCAGACCCACCCACCTCACAGGGTGTCTGCTGTGGGGAGGGGAAGGGAAAGGAGTTTGTAAGCCGCTCTGAGACTCCGAGTGAAGGGCGGGGTATAAGTCCAATCTCTTCTTCTACGTCTTCTAAATCACATTCCACTCTTCCCCTTCCCCAAGCGCTTTGAGATGGCCAGAGATCTCAGTTGCTTTTCTCTACCTGAACCATGCAACGCTGCCATTTTGGGCAACAAAGCAAGGATGGTGCCAACACTCAGAAAGGGTTCACCAGATGAGGAGACAGTCAGCACCCCCAGAACCTGAGCCAGGTCTAGCCTGAGGTGTTTCTTGGGTGGTCAGAGACAGCAACAGCACAGGAGACGGAAATCGATATGCACTGCATAGGCCACCAAGTGGCCTCGCCTGATCCATTCCCACCACCCATTCCTGCCCCCAAGGGCAGGGCAGCAAAAACAGTCCCACCTGCATTTCCTGCCTCTCAGCCTGCGGC